GTCCCACCACCGTCCTCACCACCGCCCTCACCACTGTCCCACCACCACCGTCCCCACCACTGTCCCACTGTCACCACTGTCCCCACCACTGCCCCACTGTCCCTACACCACTGTCCCCACCACCACCGTCCCCACCACTATCCCACTGTCCCCACTGTCCCCACCACTGTCCCACTGTCCCCACACCACTGTCCCCACCACCACCGTCCCTACAACTGTCCCAGAGTCCCCACTGTCCCCACCACTGTCCCACTGTCCCCAGTCCCCATCGCTGTCCCACTGTGCTGTCCAACTGTCCACACTGTCCCCACCGCTGTCCCACTGTCCCCACTGTCCCCACCACTCTCCCCAGTGCCCCTACTCCTCACCACCATACCCACCACCGTCCCAACTACTGTCCCGAGAAAGTGGGGGGGGAAGGTTCGAACCAGTAGTGACCCCCCCTGCCCCCCCCCCCGTTTTCGAGGGGGGGGGACGGGTTGGAAACCCCCAGTGACCCCCCCCCCGGCTTTCTGCCAGCAGCGGCGGAATGCGCTCGTTTCATCATCACCAGCATCATCATCATCATCATCATCATCATCATCATCATCATCATCATCATCATCATCATCATCATCATCATCATCATCATCATCATCATCATCATCATCATCATCATCATCATCATCATCATCATCATCATCATCATCATCATCATCACATCATCATCATCATCATCATCATCATCATCAGCAGCAGCATCAGCAGCAGCATCAGCAGCATCAGCATCAGCATCATCAGCATCATCATCATCATCATCATCATCATCATCATCATCATGATCATAATCATCATCATCATCATCATCATCATCATCATCATCATCATCATCATCATCATCATCATCATCATCATCATCATCATCATCATCATCATCATCATTAGCATCATCAACAACAACGTCAACATCAACATCATCAGCAGCAGCAGCACCAATTCTCATCATCATAATCAGCATCATCATCATCAGCATCAGCGTCAGCATCGTCATCATCGTCAGAATCAGCATCATCATCGTCAGATACATAATCAGCAGCATCATCATCATCATCATCATCATCGACGTCACCATCGACGTCATCATCAGCATCAGCAGCATCAGCATCATTATGATCATCACCATCATCATCAGCATCATCATCACCATCACCACCACCATCACCATCACCATCACCATCACCATCCTGCTCCTCCCCCTAATCATCATCATCCTCATCCTCATCATCATCCTGATCCTCATCATGGTCAGCATCATCATCATCATCAGCATCATCATCATCATCATCATCAGCATCATCATCATCATTATCGACCTCGCTCTCCTCGTCCACCTCGCCCTCATCATTCGTCACCTCATCACCATCATCATTTGTCATCCCTCCCTCCCTCCCTCCCTCCCTCCCACCCTCATCCTTCTCATGCTCCTGCTCCTCCGCCTGTTCCGCCGCCTCCTCATCCTCCTCCTTCTCCTCCTCTTCCTGCCAGGCGATTCAAAGAGTCGCCAGGCAAACCCGGTGCAACCCAAAAGCCGACCTGCGATAGGCACACTCATGAGGTGAATGAAACGTGGACTGAGAGAGAGAGAGATAAAGAAGGAAAAAAAAAAAAAAAAAAAAAACGGGCGAAGGACCCAACCATATGCAATTGTGAATAACGCTTTGTGGGTGCCGCTTTCGGTGGGGCTCCTTATGGGGCCACGAAAGGCGTGCCACGAAACGCTGTCCTGGGCGTACGGGACGCATGATGGCGGTAGCACTGGGGCCTTCGGTGGAGCTCCCTATGGGGCCACGAAACGTGTGAGGGGTGTGCCGAAATGGGTGCGGCGCCGCCATGCGAACGCAGCCACTGGGGCCTTCGGTGGAGCTCCCTATGGGGCCACGAAACGTGTGAGGGGTGTGCCGAAATGGGTGCGGCGCCGCCATGCGAACGCAGCCACTGGGGCCTTCGGTGGAGCTCCCTATGGGGCCACGAACGTGTGAGGGGTGTGCCTATGGGGCCAACGCCAACGTGTGAGGGGTGTGCCGAAATGGGTGCGGCGCCGCCATGCGAACGCAGCCACTGGGGCCTTCGGTGGAGCTCCCTATGGGGCCACGAAACGTGTGAGGGGTGTGCCGAAATGGGCGCGGCGCCGCCATGGAACGCAGCCACTGGGCCTTCGGTGGAGCTCCCTATGGGGCCACGAAACGTGTGAGGGGTGTGCCGAAATGGTGCGGCGCCGCCATGCCAACGCAGCCACTGGGGCCTTCGGTGGAGCTCCCTATGGGGCCACGAAACGTGTGAGGGGTGTGCCGAAATATGGCCACCCTATGGGGCCACGAAACGTGTGAGGGGTGTGCCAAATGGGTGCGGCGCCGCCATGGACGCAGCCACTGGGGCCTTCGGTGGAGCTCCCTATGGGGCCACGAAACGTGTGAGGGGTGTGCCGAAATGGGTGCGGCGCCGCCATGCGAACGCAGCCACTGGGGCCTTCGGTGGAGCTCCCTATGGGGCCACGAAACGTGTGAGGGGTGTGCCGAAATGGGTGCGGCGCCGCCATGCGGACGCAGCCACTGGGGCCTTCGGTGGAGCTCCCTATGGGGCCACGAAACGTGTGAGGGGTGTGCCGAAATGGGTGCGGCGGGCCATGCAACGCAGCCACTGGGGCCTTCGGTGGAGCTCCCTATGGGGCCACGAAACGTGTGAGGGGTGTGCCGAAATGGGTGCGGCGCCGCCATGTGGACGCGGCCACTGGGGCCTTCGGTGGAGCTCCCTATGGGGCCACGAAACGTGTGAGGGGTGTGCCGAAATGGGTGCGGCGCCGCCATGCGGACGCAGCCACTGGGGCCTTCGGTGGAGCTCCCTATGGGGCCACGAAACGTGTGAGGGGTGTGCCGAAATGGGTGCGGCGCCGCCATGTGGACGCGGCCACTGGGGCCTTCGGTGGAGCTCCCCATGGGACCACGAAACGTGTGAGGGGTGTGCCGAAATGGGTGCGACGCCGCCATGTGGACGCGGCCACTGGGGCCTTCGGTGGAGCTCCCTATGGGGCCACGAAACGTGTGAGGGGTGGGAGGAGGGAGGAGGGAGGAGGCGGAGGAGGAGGAAGGAAGGAAGGAGAGGAGACGCGGGGCACCGTCTCTTCAAAACGAGGACCCAACACCACAGGATGGTTGGGAAAAAGAGAGAGAGAGAGAGAGAGAGCGAACGCAACGCATGAAAAGAAACGTAATGACCCCCCTCTGCGCCGGCCGCAAGCCACAGGATCTAAACAACTCAAGTCAAAAACAAAGTCAAAGATACAACTGGGCGTCCGGACAGCTCCACAGAAGCACACACCACAATGCGAGCTTGAAACGTGACATCTCCAAAGATGGACTGTACACTCCTCCTCATTCTGCTGCTCCTCGTCTTCCTCCGCCTGATCATTCCTCAATCAGTGCTTGCATACACTGGGGGGGCCCTAGCAAATATTGAAAAAATTGGCGGAACATCGCCGCCGGTTTCGGTAGGCGGCCGGGTTCCTGGTATCCCGGTTCTGGACTCCAGGTTCCCGTTTCCGGGTTCTGGATTGGTCTTGGCGAAAGTTCGTCGCCGATTTAGGCGGCCATGTTACCGGGTTCCCAGATCTTGGTTCCAGGTTCCCGTTTCCGGATGTCAGGTTGGTCTCGGTGGGCGGCTCCTGGTTCTGGGTTCCGGGTTCCCGTTTCTAGGTTCTGGATTGGTCTCGGTGGGCAGCTGGGTTCTCAAGTTCCCGGTTCCCGGTGCTAGGGCTCGCCGTATGATATATGTATACAGATATATACATTGATATTCACACACATGTACTAGAGAGGGAAAGCGATGGATACGGAGGTCAGACGTACATTTATACACGTGTCTACTTATATATATATATATATATATATATGATACCGAAGAAACACCCATCAGAATCTGTTACATCTTACATATAGGGCTACAGCAGGACTATAGGGCTATAGGGCTATAGGGCTATAAGGCTATATGTGCTATTGGGCTATAGAGCTATAGGGCTATGGGGCTATAGGGCTATAGGGCTATAGGGCTATTGGGCTATTGGGCTATAGGGCTAGATGGCTGTAGGGCTATAAGGCTATAGGGCTATAGAGGGCTATAGGGCTCTGGGCACCCGGGCACCCCCGGGCACCTCCTCTGGGCACCCCCGGGCACCTCCAGGCACCTCCAGGCACCCCCAGGCACTCGGGCACCGGGCACCCGGGCACCCCCGGGCACCTGGGCACCCGGGCACCCGGGCACCGGGCACCCGGGCCGGCCACCGAAATCGGCGACGCACCTCACCTAACCACATGAATCCGCTAGGACCCCTACAGAGGCAAGCTCTGATTGGGGAGTATATATATATAAGCACATCCACTGATCGGGGTTCCTCTGGTGTAACATCATTATTGTTAGAATGAATGTTAGTATGGGTAGTGTTCTTAAGATTAAGCATTTTAGTAGTAGTGTTGTTAGCGCTACAAGTTTTGTGGATCTTAGTTCAGTGTTCCTCAACCTATTGACGAATTGATTAACACTTTCTTCCTTTTCCTTGCCGTCACTCTCCCCGCCCTCCCCATTCTCGCTCTTCTTCCCTCTCCGCCTGCTCCTGCTCCTCATCCTTCTTCTCCTACTCCTCCTCCTCATCATCCTTCTCCTCCTTCTCCTTCTCCTCCTCCTCCTCCTCCTCCTCCTTCTCCTCCCCCCCCTCTTCTCCTCCTGCTGCTTGCCCTCGCCCTCCTCGCCCTCCCTCCCCTCCTCCCCTCCTCCTCCTCCTCCCTCCTCCTTCTCCTTCTCCTCCTCCTCCTCCTCCTCCTCCTCATCCTCCTCCTCCTCCTCCTCCCCCGCCTCCGCCTCCGCATCGGCCTCCGCCTCCTCCTCCTCCTCCTCCTCCTCCTCCTCCTCCTCCTCCTCCGCCTCCTCAACCTTGCTTCCCCGCTGCCCGTGGCAAGAAAGGAGGCCCCGTCCTGAGTTTCGGCAGCGGCTTCAGCCTGGCCTCGGCGGGATCTGCGGGCCGGCGCGCCTCGCGGCGGTGGGCTGCGAGAAAAGAACGAGACGCTGACGATCGGGAATTGGGAAGCGGTTAGCATGTCGTATCGAAGCGTGGTGGGCCACAAGCGACGGCGCGACACGTAAGCCAAAGTTTCTCTCCTCCTCCTCCTCCTCCTCCTCCTCCTCCTCCTCCTCCTCCTTCTGTTACGCTTCCTCCTCCACCATATCCTCCTCAATATCCTCCTCCTCCTCCTCCTCCTCCTCCTCCTTCTCCTCCTCCTCATCATCATCATCATCCATCTTCTCCGCCTCCTCCTTCTCCTCCCTCCTCTTCCTCCTTCATCCTCCATCGCCCACTTCCTTCACGCAGGCAAGAGTGCGCGATCTGCTGCGCAAGCCCATCCAAGGCAACCCATGCAGCCCGTCGTGACCGTATGAGCTCGACGTCGACGAGGGCGAGACGAGCGTATGGAGGCGGCGCGGGCGCCCGCCCGAAGGAAAACGGGCGCGGGGGGCCTGACGAGGCCGCCTGCTCGTCGCCCCCGACGTTGAGGAGGGAGGAGGAGGAGGAGGAGGAGGAGGAGGAGGAGGAGGAGGAGGAGGAGGAGGAGGATCGGATCGAGGGCCATATGCGGGATCCAACCCACGCACTCGCCCCCTGGCGCCGCGCCTGGCCGCGCGCGCGCCTCCAGGGGGGCTGGCCTCAGCCCACCGGCCGCCAGCCGTGGACCGCGGCACGCGGCACGCGTGGGCGAACGACATCTGCAACAGCTGTCGAACTGCAAGCCGGACATCTACCACATCGGCTGCGAGACCTACCCACCTCGGTGGAGACTCACCGGCAAGTATGCCGAGGCCACACACGCATAGAGGTGTACGAACAGATGCAGCGCTCAAGAGAGCGGGCTGCCTCATCCGACGCGGGCGACAACCTCCCGCTACGACCGCTTTCATGATGGCACCCCTTACAGGACGAGACGAGCTGCGTAACAGGCAGCCCAAGTGCAACAACGAGCTGCGTAACAGGCAGCCCAAGGACGACCACCACCAGTACGACACAAAGTACGTCGCCAAGACCGACACCAGGAACGACACGACCGAGCAGACCGAATGTGTTACTAAGTACGTCGTCGTCGAGGTACTGATGGACAAAGGCCGCGCCGCCAACGACGAGTACGACTACGGCCGCGCCGCATACAGCAGCTTATTCGACAGCGACCTGTACTCCTGCGACCCCTACGACTACTCTGGACGCCAGGACGTCGAACACTACGACTTGGCAGCCCATGACTCCGATTCGGACCTCGTAGACTACGAAGAGAGCGTGCCGTCTGAGCTACTACAGCCACCAGCAGAGTACCAGGGCTACCAGACGACCTACGGAGACCACAAGCTGAATTGCGAGGACCTCCGGCTGAGCCACGAGAGGCACCAGGAGAGGTACCAGGGCCACGCGTTGAGCTACAAGAACCACCAGTAGAGCTACAAAGGCAACCAGCTGAGCTACGAGGGCAAAAGGCTGCACTACGAGGTCCACAAGCAGGGCTACGAGGACTACACCCTGCCCTATGGGAACCAATGGCAGAGCTAACTGGGCCACCTGCTGAGCTACCAGAGCTTCCAACAGACCTACGAGGGCCACCAGCTCAACTACGAGGGCCTCCAATTGAGCCACGAGAGACACCAGGAAGGATGTCCAGGGCAACCTGCTGAGCAACACGGGCAACCAGCCCAGCTGCGAGGGCCAAAGGCCGGTACCAGGGCCACCCGCTGAGCTACAAGTGCCACCAGCAGAGCTGCAAGGGCAACTCGCCTAACTACGCGGGTCTCAGGCTGAACTACGAGTGCCACAACACGGGCTACGAGGACCACAACCTTAGCAACGGGCCACTGGCAGAGCTACCCAGGCCACCTGCTGAGCTACCGGAGCCTCCAACAGGCCTGCGAGGTCCACCAGCTGAACTACGAGGACCTCCAGCTGAGCCACGAGGCGCCAGGAGAGGTGCCAGGGCCACCTGCTGAGCTACCAGAACCACCAGCAAAGCTACGAGGGCCACCGGCTGAACTACGAGGGCCACAAGCACGACTACGAGGACCACAGGCAGGGAAACAAGGACCACCAGCTGAGCTACAAGTGCCATCAGCAGAGCTACAAGAGCAACCAGCTGAGCTACGAGGAGCACAGGCTGCACAACGAGGACCACACGCAGGGCTACGAGGACCACAACCTGCCCTACGGGAACCACTGGCAGAGCTAACTGGGCCGCCTGCTGAGCTACCAGAGCTTCCAACAGACCTACGAGAGCTGCCAGCTCAACCACGAGGACCACAAGCACAGCTACGAGGGCTACGACGACCACCAGCAGGCGCAGGGCTTCAGCCTGCGCTACGAGGGCAAGCAGCTGAGCTACGTGGGCAACCAACTGGGCCACCTGAGCCGCGAGGGCCGCGAGCTGAGCCACGAGGACCACAAGAAGAAAGACGAGAGCCTCATGAAGAGCTACCAGAGCGACAAGCAGAACTCCGTGAACCACCTGCTCAGCTTCGAGGGCCACCCGCGCAGCTACGAGGGCCACAACCTGAACTACGCGGCCCGCAAGCAGAACTGCGAGAGCCCCCTGCTTAGCTACCAAGGCAACGAGCTGAACTGAACTGCCAACCAGCTGAGCTACAGGCCGCGCTACGAGGGCCGCAAGCAGAGCGACGAGACGTACTAGGAGTCCTGCCAGGGCCACCAGCTGGGCTGCGACCCCCAAGCGCTGAGCTGCGGGAGCCACCTGCAGGGCCGCGGAGACCACCCGCAGAGCTACCAGGACCAGTCTCTGCCCCACGAGGTCCACGCGACGAACACCAAGGCCCACGGAAGACCTGCACAACCAGCAGGCCGATCGCCATCGGCGACACAGCACGGGGCAGGCTTGGCAAGAAGTGCCACAGCTGCGCCGCGGGGATGCCGGACGAGACGCCCGCCACGGCCCGCTGGCTGGACGGCACGACGTGCCGGCTCCAGCGCGCCGCACTCCGCAGAACGGAATGGTGACGGCGAGGCCGGCCGGCCCGAAGCCGGAGCAGGTTACGACCTGCAGAGCTACGGACAAGGGCATACAAAAGAACATCGTCTGAGCAATTTCTTTGGGTGGAGGGCAAAGGGCTGAGATCTGAAATGCCGTTTCGATGGGTTCTCGAGGCTTGAATCTGCAAAAAGCGAGCAACAGAACGGATTGAGATTCGAGGTGCAAAAGCCCATATGGATTTCACCCTGAGCCCTCCACCCTAAGGAAATGCTCAGATCGTCACACACCCAAGATACTCTGTCGTTGTTCTTTGAAATCTCAAGAGCCCCGCGGGTTCCCAAGGCCTCCAGCGGCGAAGTGCCAAGCCACGCCGGGCGGCAAGCAGTGGCTGCGGCGGCACCTGTGGACTACCCTACAGGGTCAACGCCAGCAACAAAACAACAACGAACTGTCATCGGGCCGCAGCTAGGTGGCCGAGGGAGCGAGGGAGCAGGGAGCAGACAAGATACTCTGTCGTCTGTCTACTTCAGTGTACCGCTGAACTTCTACATCATTTGAGCGGCCCAGCCGCTCCCTCCACCTCCTTCTCTTCCTCCCTGGGCCTCACGATGGTTTACATGGTAAGGTGGCCTTCCTCTCATCCTCCTCTCTGGATAAGGTCCCCCGGTGGCGTCCGGGGGGGGGCCCGGGCGACAGCACGCACCCTGTTCCACCGAATCCCGAGCGAAGGCGTCGCGTCCGAAACGCGCCCACTCACGTAGGAACATGGAGCACGAATCGGGCTGACGAAATGAGGGGTCGGCACAGACCCTGTCTGGGTTCGGATAGTATACGGTCGTCCACTGGTGCCAGAGGGCGTTAAAGTAAGGGCCCATGCCCTTCTGCAGTCTCTTCACAGTCTCTGCGGGGGCTTCCCCGACGCGTGGCCGGAGGGAGACTCTGTCGAGGGGGTACGGTAGATGTACTGGCGGGTCACGGGGTCGCGGAGGTCGCGCCCGACATCCTGTTTGCGCCTGGGATGACGGCGTTCAGGATGGTCCTCGACCTGCGCGGCTGCAAAGGGGGGCCAGGGTACCTCCTCAGAGTCCCGCGACTTGTCGGGCCTGTTCCAGCGCTCGTTACGTTCCCAGTTGTCCCGTCTGGCCCCGTGCGTCCAGCGGTTGCCGCACGGGCTACTGCGGCCAGTTTCACCGTGCCAACGCGGGCGGCGCTCGCGCCAGTCGCCATTCCAGTCCTGTCGGTTCCACGTGCCAGTGGGCGGGCAAGCCCTGGGCATGCCAGGGGAACGTGGAGCGCTCTGCCCCGGCGGGCGCGCGAGGTCCCTGTCGCCCGCGACGGAAGTGGGGTCCCAGCGGGGATCGGCTGGCGAGGTTGGGGCGCAGGCCCCGCCTTCCCGCACGGGGCCGGCCGAGGAGTGAACGACCGGAGCCGGACTCGGTGCTCTCTTTTCCGCCAAGAGGGCAGGACTCGAGGCGGGAATAGGGAGATGGCGGGCAGCTGGCGCACGGAGGGGACGAAGAGGGACCGGAGGAGGAAGAGGAGGAGCAGCAGTGGCAGCAGGGGGGGCGAGTTCTCATCGCCCGAGCCGCGGCGGGCAGCGCAGGCGGCGTCCTCAGTCGATGACGGCGGATAGGGCCCCGTGCAGCTCGGCGTCGACCTCGAAAAAGAAGTCGGCCGTTTCGGAGTCAGTGGAGACGCTCACGATGTAGTCGTGGCCACCGTCGATGGCAGATATGAAAGCTGCAGGCGGAGGAGGAGGAGGAGGAAGAGGAGGAAGAATATGAAGAGGAGGAACAGGAGGAGAAGAGGGGGAGAGCAGCAGAAACAGTAGCGGCGGCGGCATCCGGAGGGCGACAAAAGAGGGGGGAAGGAAGGCAGGGCGCGAGAGGGGAGGGCGACGGCAAGCACGATGATGGTGACTGTGATGGCGATAGCGGTGGTGATGGCGGTGACGACGACAA